CCATCTTGGAGCACCAACGTACCCGTGAAGGAGGCTCACCAATCTTACTTGGAAAGTGAAGAAGTTTTACAAACATACCACACATGCAAACACTTCAACAAACAAGATAGACCCTTTCTTGCACCCAAGAAAGTACTCCTTGTAGAAACCCACTACAAGAACTCTTACCACTTAAGAAACCTACTCAAGTACCTTACCATACATCACAAAAGATTAAAGAACAAATTCACCTGTACTCTAAAAGGATGAATTCTTGTCAAGTCTTTGTTCCTCTTGTCAAGAATGTGGATAATGATGATCTCTTAAATTCATTCACAAAGATGTTAAGTTCTTGGATTTCACAAAGAAAATGCTCCAAGAATATCATCACAAAGATCACAAAATTCATAAAGTTTCACTCAAAATTACTTTCATAGTTTTTGAATGAGAAAACCGTTTTTATAAAGTTTTCAGACCCAAATAATCGATCAAGCTTCTAACTTAGCTTGCTTTCCAAGCAAGCTAAGGTAGAAGCTTGCTCCACAAGCCATCCTAACTAGGGAGGTCGGTCAAGGCAACCAAACCATGGTTCTCTTGAACCATGGTTAAGGTTAGCTTACTCCCTAAGCTACCTACTTCTATAAATTCCTAAAACCTTCCATTGTAGACACTTTTGACATTTATGAGACATAGAATTTTGAAAATTCTCTCTATTCAAGAGTCCAAACTGTGGAGAATTCTCCTTCTCCTAGGAATTACACAAAGGAATTTCTCCTTTGTGCTTGGTTCCTCAAGTTTCTCCATTCTTCAAGGAGAAACCGAACCACTATTGGTTGCTTCTTCAAGCTTCTAAGCTTGAAAATATATATTTATTTTATTTAATTATTTTGGGGAATAAAGAAGCGGATTGGGAAGAGAAGGAAAATGGGTTAGGTTGATCTAGCTCAGTGGATTATTTTTAAGAAAGGGGTCAAACAAAGTTAACCTTATCTACCTCATTTGCGTTTTGAAGGGTTAAGAAAGAAAGAGAGGAGAAACAAGAGAGCTCAAAGGAAGAGTGCTAAAAAATAATCTCAAATTGCTTCTGGATTATTCTGTTTAACACAATCAAGTACGGGGGAAGGAGTTTATTTGTATGCAATGTCACATGAGGGAATGGGTAGAGGAATTTTGTAGGACTATTAGTAAATTTACAATTGTTTTTGTTTGAAGAATCGATGATTCCATTTAATTCTACGTGTATTGAGGATTAAGAATATGCGAACAATTAGTGAAGATGATGATCTGGGAGAGAGAACAAAATTATAAAAAAGTGTCTGTGAGTTAGGTTTTGAAAAATTTTGGTTTTGATGATTCAATCGAGTTTTATATTGATTTATAAAGGTGGTTGTTATATTATTTGATAAAATTGATGATCTAGAGGATTATTGGATTTATTGGGATGTATTTTGTAAGTTAGGGTTCTTGTAGATTAATAAGCACCTTTAATTATATGAATGAATGAGTAATTGAGAGATTTTACTTATGGATGTACCTTAGTATTTTTGTAATATCTTTCTGTGTGATAAACCAAATCAATTTTCATTTATTGGGTTAGAAATTAGACACTTGAGACTATAATTTAGACTCTAGAATCATGTAAGAATGTTAAGAATTGATTGAGTTATGCAAGTTATAAGTTCAATCTCCATTATAGTGTGCGGAATATTAAGTTTTGTGTTGTTAGCCATGCAAGGTGACCTTAATGACATTTTTAGGCTTCATGTTCTTTACAAAAGTTGTATCTTTGTGTGTTATATTTCTAATGGCTTTGGAATCAATCC